CAGGTATTTTTCTATCTCAGTTGGATTAAATCAGGTATTTGTTATGGGTAAGACTAGAGAAAGTGTTCAGGAAAAACTTGAATTATTGGGATCTACATTGGTTCTAAAGTATTTCATTTGAGTAGATATAAAATTGAACACATATAATGCAATTTTAGTAGTAGTAGCTAGAGTGACAGAGTTGTAAGTATGAGTGATCAAATCATTAAAAGGCGTGAACATTTTAGATATTTGAGTCTATTGTTCAAAGTGATGGTGATATAAATGGGGATGTTATTAGTAGAATTCAAGTCGGTTGATTGAAGTGTAGGAATGCATTAAGCCTATTGTGTGAAATAAAAGTGTCGCTTAGACATGAAGGAAAATTTTCTAAGATGGTGGTAAGACCTGCAATGCTCTATGGCGCAGAATGTTAGCCTTTAAAAGAGAAGTATAAAACAAAGTTAAATGTTGCCGAGTTGAGAATGCTTAGGTGGATGAGTGACTTGACACATAGAGACAAAATGCGAAATGATTATATCAGCGATGGGATTGGTATAGTTCCAGTGACAGACAAGTTTAGAAAGAGTCATCTTAGATGGTTTGGTCATGTTAAATGTTGACCATCCAATGATCTGATTGGCATAGTATGTTTAAGATTTGATTTATGTTAAGAAAGGCAGAGGTAGACCTAAATAAATTTGGGCATATTTTATAAAAATAATCTTAATCTATTAGAATTAAATGAAAATCTGACACTTTTTTGGACGCAATGAAGAGAAAGATTCAAGTAGCCGAACCCATTTAGTGGGATAAAGGCTTGTTCTTGTTCTTCTTCTTGTTGTTGTTGAAAAAATGTGTATTTGACTTTAAAAAAGCATTAATAGTTCAAACTTTTTTCACCTACATAAAAAATGAACAGAAAAAGATGAAAATGCGTTATAGGAATATTCTCTCACGTTTTTCTGAAAATTTTCCGCGTTATTCATGTGTTATTGACGTGTTATTGATGTAATTTCATGAATAACACATTAAAACACATGAATAACGCGAGAGAATATTCATAAACCCTCAATAACACACCAATAACACATGAATAACACATCAATAACACATTAAATAACAAATGAATAATGCAAAAAATATTCAGAATAACATGAGGGAATATTCCTATAACACGGATTGAATAACATATTAATTGAATAACATATTAAATAACATATTAAATAATACATGGATAATGTGAGATAATATTTTTAAACCCTTAATAATACATCAATAACACATGAATAAAACAAAAAATATTCAGAATTACGCAAGGAAATATTCTTATGCGATGAAATATTCCTATATCACATTAGTCGGGCTGGGTCTCACGTTTTCGACCTTCCACGTGTCATCACAAGATTGGACTCCGCAAACAGCCCTGCATATGAAGTCTTAATGTAAACTTTAAACATTAAGATTCTATTATGACTTTTCTGTTTGCTTGGATTGCTGTGTGTGTTGACGTAAGAGCCTGAACTCCATCAATCCAGATTTTATCCTTCTAGGCCTAAGAATCCTATTATTTTGTCTCATTAGTTTAGCTTAACGAGTTCACAAATCTCATAAATGCTATCATATGAATAGGGCTGTTAAAATGGTTTGTTGTTCATGAACAATTTATGTTTGGTTCGTTAAGTAGCTCATGTTCGATTCATTTGATTAAGAAGTCGAACATGAACAATTTTTTAACGTTCGATATATAAACGAGCCGATAAGAAACAA